GTAGTGCAGGATCTAATCGTTGGTTATTAAGACTTACTTCCGTTCTTTGTTTTCTACGTTGAGTGCCTGATGTTGAAGCACAACGCCTAGTCGATACATGATCTCCATGAAGCTCCTCTGACTTCTCATCAGGTAAGAACAGTAGAAATTACCAATGATTCTTGTGGCACACGTCGAGTTTCTTGCCTGTGTCAAAGTGCCTTGTAGAACATGTAGTTAGCTGGTCTCTCAGTGCAGACTACAAACCATATTGAACTCATTTCCAATATTTGAGAAGTCATGAAGTGCTGACCTACAAAAGGATTAATGATTGGTATTCAGTACTCGTATTGGAATCTGATTAATTCAATTTTGGGCGTAATAAATTTAACTAGACTGTCATTACAACAAAAGAATTAGTAGTAATAAGTTTTTATTTAAGTGACTATTTATTAATTTATGGCAAAACATTTATTGCATCTAAATATCATTTCATCAAAAGTGGCTAAAGTGTTTAATGACATTTATGTGAAGTGTTGGTTACAGGTATTCATATTATATTATTGCAGCTAATCGTAATATACACAATGTAGTCGCACAAAGTAGGATCTAAAAAAAATGGAACGTACACTAACATTATGCCTTACACGTTTTGCTAATATTTTTGGAAGTTTGGAATTGATAAATAAAGAGATCTATCTTACTACAATGCTAGCTTAATAGACATAAATTACACACTTGTTATGCATGAATTACACATATCATTATACATTATCTTTAGGTTAATTCTTCTTAAATGAGCATCAATTTACAAGGTAAAGAATCTATTATCTTTTAAAATTATGAGTACATTGATATACTTTTTCTTGGGAAAAAGGTCTGATATACCTCTCAACTTTGTCATTTGGAGCTGATATACCCTTCGTTATGAAAGTGGTTCATATATGCCCTTACCGTTATACAAACGGCTCGCATATATCCCTGCCGTTACAAAATGGCTCACATATACCCTTCATTTAGCGGATTTTAAAAAATTAGTTTTAAATTTATATTTATTACTTTTAATTTTTTTAAAAAATTTATTTAGGGGTCTATATGATTCTTTCAAGGTATATTTTAATTTTTTTCATACATAAATTATTTTTTGACTTCTTTTATTATAATTATTTGAATTTCTTATTTTTATTTTGTTTTTTCTTTCATTCCTTATTTAAAGAATAAAAAATTAAACTATTTTTTTGTGTGTATTGTAATTTAATTTCGTATTCGAAGAAAAAATTTGATCATCTACAATAAGTTTTACAAGAATATTAGTGAAACATAAATAAATTTGATTATCAAAATAATAATTATAAATTAGTTATTGAAACAAAAAAAGTCAAAAAAATATGTTTGACGAGGATTAAATCTATTCATATGGGATTATATTTTTTAGAAAAAAATAAAAATAAAAATAAAAATAATTATTTTTTTCATTTCCGTTAGAGAAAAAGGGTATATGTGAGTCATTTGTTTACAAATAGGGGTATATATGAGTCACTTTCATAACAAGGGGTAAATGACAAAGTTGAGGGTATATCAGATTCTTTTCCTTTTTTTTCTTTTCAAACTAAATAGAAGATTTAATTTTAATTGAGCTAGTGCAACATTTGATTTGGTGACCTATAAAACAAATGAAAGATTTGGTAACAATCAATATCGAAAAAAGAATTGTCTCCAAGTCTTATTTAAAAGAGTTCATATAATTTGCACTAACTTAAAAAATAAAATGTACGTAAATCATATAAAAACTTTACGGGACATAACACACATATAAGTATCTTAAATTTTTCATGATAAGACAAGAGCAATAGACATTGTCTCTACGATAGAGGTAGAGAGGTTATTATGCCAACAACACGATAACAGATATACTTACCAACGAGAGAGAGCGAGACTGACCTACTCAAGAGAGAGCACACACGACTGCAAGAGTTGATCTTCACCCTATCACCCAAGCTCGCGACTAGTCTGCTAGTTAACGCAAACACGAAGAAGTCATCACAGACAAGATCTGTGCTACAACACAAGAAGAAAAGCTTCAAAACAAGCACAAACATTTATCACAACTACCTGATTTTCCAGATACACCACAAAGCACAAACCTTTGCCTTACTTCCCCTTGTACACTTCAATGGATTTCATCTCAATTCAGTTTCTGGCAAAAGAAATCTAGTGTTCTTGAAGAGAAATCGTACTAACAATTGACTCTTTTTCTTCGATTCTAGTGATAACCAATCTCTGCTATAAACAGTACGAGTCAAACACATAACCAAACCACTAGATGAAAGATGAAGATCATTGAGCTGTTGTTCATCGTTCATCACTATGGTTAAGGGCAGAGATAAACCAAACAGAAATATATAGCAAAGGCAGCACAATCATCTAGTAACCAAAGCATTCTATAAGTTTTGAAATCCAATCTCAAACCTGTCATTAAAACACTAAATAACACAAAGAAGAGACTAGATAACACAAAGAAGAGACCACAAACAGAGAGAGATCACTTCTGTTGAAGATCAAGATTATTTCTTTTCACCTGATAAAATCAAACATGACCAAACTATTCTATAAATTTTGCAATCCAATTTCGAATTCATCATCAAACATTAAACAAAACAAAGTAAAAGCCATAAACACAGAGAGAAATCATTTATGTTGAAGATCCAGAACATTATTTTTCACTGATAAAGTCAATTAACCAGTGTCATCACAAACATCTCATAACCAACCCATTCTATATTCACAAATTCCATCATCAAAACACTAAACAAAACAAAGAGAAACCATTCCTGCTAAAGATCAAGATCATTCTTTTCACTGATAAAAGGTGCAGCTTCGCAAGTATCTAATAACCAACCCATTCTATATTTTTTTCAATCACAAATTCGATTCCATCATCAAAACTCTAAATAAAACAAAGAGAAACCATTTCTGCTAAAGATCAAGATCATTCTTTTCACTGATAAAAGGTGCAGCTTCGCAAACATCTAATAACAAGCTCATTCTATAAATTTCGCAATCCAATCTCAAACCCATCATCAAAACACTAAATAAAACAAAGACTAACCACAAATCAGTTCTATTGAAGATCAATATCACTTTTTTTTAACCAGAGGCAGCACATTAACATCTAGTAACCAAACTATTCAATTAGTTATGCAATCCAATCTCGAATCCAACATCAAAACACTAAACAAAACAAACAAACCACAAACACAAAGAGAAATCATTTCTGTTGAAGATCAAGGTCATTTTTTCACAGCGGCTTATTTGCAATCCAACCTCAAATCCATCTTATCAAAGCACTAAATAAAACAAAGAAAAACCACAAAGATCTTTTTTTTTTCACTGATAAAGTCAATTAACCAGCCCATTCTACAAATTTCGCAATCCAATCTCGAATCCACAATCAAAACACTAAACAAAACCAAGACAAAGTGAAATCAATTCCATTGAAGATCAAGATCAAATTTTTTCCACTAATAAACACTGCAGCTTCCCAAACATCTAATAAAACAACCAACACATTCTACAAATTTCATCGATCCAATCTCGAAATCCATCATCAAAACACTAACAAAAAAACACAAACATAACGAAAAATAATTTCTATTGAAGATCAAGATCTTCTTTTTTTAACTAATAAACTGCAGCTTTCCCAACCCATTCTACAAATTTCTCAAACCCACTAACAAAATCAATTCTGTGTAGTAGCAGGGGAAGCACCAAGAAGACTTGCTTGTTGAAGATCAAGATCATTCAGCTGCTGTTCACGATCCATAACAATAATCAACGGCAAACCCAGAACCAAAAACGTTGTAGCAACAAGCCAAGCAGCTTTTCCAGTACTCTTCGCAAGCTTTTTCCCCACATAAGTCGCATCACAAGCTGCTTGTTTCCCCTTCGTAACAATGGTGGATTGAGAAATCCTAGCTAAAACGCCGTCATTCTTGCTGCTTGATCCGGTCAAAGCAAAGGGCTTTCCACTCATAGGCGCCATTGTTGAGGAAGAAGAAGAAGAAGAAGCAGAGAAAATTTGTAGGGTTTTGGCTGTATTTGGGGCTTAAACCCTGTTTTTTTTGTATAAATATTAAAACTATTGCAAATTCAATTTATAGAAGAAAAAAAGAACACTTATAGTAAATTCATATATATCCCTAATAAATACTCACTTGTTTTTTCAAAAATAAGTTTGACCTTAGAAAAAAAATATTTATTAAAAAATTAATAAATATAATATATAGTTTATGAAATTATCCTTTGTTTAGTTTTTTATCTTGAAAATTGAATGTTATTAAGAAAATATAGTTGAAAAGTGTTAAATATTCATTTTTTTTTATATATGTCTTTTAAGAAAGGTTTTATTATATGTTTATTTTGAGCATGTCTCTTAAAATATAATGGTTAATATTATTATTTAACTATAATTCATTTATTAATTGATATATATTTTTAAATATAAAAAAATAATTTGAAATTAAGTATTTAATATAGAAGGTAAATTAAGAAAAAAACAGTAATTATTTTTCCTTAAAAGTGAATGGAGTGAATAATAAATTTTACATATAAAGAAGTTGTTTTTTTAACTTGGGCAGCACCCAAATTCCAATAAATTCAATTATGAATATGAGGTAACCCTTAATTAAATATTTTTTTATTAAAATGTATTTAAGTTAAAAATATTAAAAATATATATTAAAAAAATAAAATAATATAAATAAAATATCATTTTGATCAAATTCTAGCTAAATTTTTTTTATCAAAAAGTTTTTTTCTTAAATACTAATACCTTATTTATCTTAATTATTTATCATGTTTTTCGGTCACATCTTCTATGAAAATATTAATTAAAAAATGTTAATTTTTTTTCAAATTACAATTTAGACAATAAATTTTATGCGAAAAATAAATTTAAGTGTACGAAAAATTTCCTACAATCTCTTTAACAATAATAAACACAAAATCATCACCTCATAAAATTATAATTCAAATTTGCTTGTTAGCAACATCAAAATTTACATTGTGAATCAACATTTTTTCTTAAACCTTAGTCATTTTAGTCTGATCAATTCAGACTTACATAACTCAGCAGACAGTTTTATCAACAGCTTAATATTAAACGTCATGTCTGAAGTTATTTTAAAATGACACTACTAGAAATTAGACCTATGACAATGGTATTTTTTTGCTACGGCTAACCGTTGCTATGAACACTATATTCCAACGATTTAAGTATAGCTATACACTTTAGCAATTCAATCGTTGAAATTGTACCAAAAAAACCATAGCTATAGATTATCTCTATATATGACAACGGTTTTTGGAAGGAAAAAAATACTATTGGAACTATTATTTATCTATATGGAAACGGAAAATCTTAATAGTTCGGCTGATTAACTATTTAAACTTTCACCTTATTAGTGAGAGTTCGATTTCCCACCATGTAATTCCCTCTGACCACTCATTTTACTTGGTATTGGGGGATTAAGCATTTGGAGTAACCATTACTCCATGAAAATATTGAAATTGATATTTGTAATTATTTGACTCTTTATCTTTATCTTCATCTTCATCTTCGTCTTCCTCTGTTTCCCATAAAAACCTAGCATATGATGCTAGTACATCGCTGAAAACAAAATAAATGTAATGAATATGGTAGTACTAATATGGTAAGAAACAAGTCAAAATATGGTGTCAATGCAAAAGTCCTTTACTACAACAATAGTTCCAGTGAAATCCCACAAGTGGAGTTTGGGAGGATAGTGTGTACACAGATTTTACTTTATCTCGTGGAGTTAGAGAGGTTGTTTCTGGAAAACCCTGTGCTCGAGTATAGCAAATCAAAGTAGGTATGAAAGGAGAAAAAACGACAATGAAGAAGGAAACGTTTACTGACGTACATATATATAAATCCTTATTTCTTAACCATCATGTGGTGTTATCATTATAAACATTCCTTTTTTCTCTGTTAATGAGATGATTTATAGTCGATTAAATGTTTATAGCTTGTGTTAGACTATAAGTTTCTTTCTTTCTTAAAGTTCGTGCCTTATCAAACACTTTCACATAAAATGAGACAGAAGAGAGTAACACTTACCAGTTTCCTGGAGAAGCTTGAACTGCTCTTTTGAAATGAGAAGAGGCTTTATTTTGGTCATGATGAAGATGCCATATAAAATTTGCATATTGTGAAATAATTTCTCCATCACTAGCATCTGTCAATACCGCGCGCGAGTAGTATTCTTTAGCTCCTCCCAAGTCCCCTTTACACTGCACGAAAAAATGATAAGCACGCTAATGATAACAACATATCCAACGTGATCTGACAAGTGGAGTTTTGGGAAAGGTTGAGTGTATTTATGCAAAAGAAGTCAAGAGTGTTCAATTGACTACCTTTCACTATATGTTGCTATGCTACTGCTTATACGCGGTAGCTTAGATGACAAATAAGGGACATTACCTGATCAAGGAACTGAGCATACTTTCTTAAAACTAAGGGGTTATTTGGATTTTCTTGAATCACACTCTTATAGTAATCCTCAGCTGCTATAAGCTCATTCAGAGTCATGCCACCACTAAATCCGCAATTTCCAATGCCAAATCCTGCAGCAAGATTCAGCAGAGGGCTAGCTTGTCTGTTGTCTTGTTCAAAATACATGTTGTGTGATGTAGCAACTTCTTCGGTTTCCTTGAAAAGATGGCACATCAAGAAGGTTAAAACTTCATATGATGCAAAACAGATCTTGTTCTAAAAGTTGTTACTCCATCCGTTTCAATTTGTTTGTCTGGTTTTGACTTGACACAGAGTTTAAGAAAGTAAAGAATCTTATAGTCTTAAGCTAACGATATGTAGATTGTAACAAAATTTACTTTAATCATGTTGTCTTAAACATGTCAGGTGGAAAGTTAGAACTGAAATAGTTGTCAAAGGTGGAAAGGGACATTCTTTTTTAAACGGACAATTGAAACGGAGATAGATAGTATATGTTCACTTGGAAATAAAGTAAAGAAGATGTGTGAAAACCTTAGTTTCATCAAGCTGTGTGTTCGTGCTCGTTGTCATCATAATTGATCTCCCAAAGAAAATTAGCATATGCTGCAAGGACATGGCTGGAAACCGAAAAAATGAATGTGAAAAAGGAGACATATTCTATCACGAGAAATGAAGAAACGAAGTTATACATGTTCCACTTCATATCGCGCTATATCATTTTCAGTCTATTTCAAGAAAAAAGGAAGCTTTTTATATTTGGAAACTCTTTAATTTGAAACTTCTCATTTTGCTCTTAATGACATGCTATTATAGCCATAACGATATCATGGCATGTGTCGAAACCAGAAGTTATTGTGGTACTTCTGATATGTGACAGAAGTATTTCTTTTTTTTCTTAACCTCCGTTGCATTCAAATACTACCATATAAGCTCAGAACGGATGAGGTACCTGTTCTCGGGATCAACATGAGTAGCATGTTCAAAGTAGCTCAAGGCTCTACCTTTATCATGGTGTAGCTGCCACACCAATGTAGCATACTGTGACAAGATATCCCCGTCTTGTGGATTAGCTAGAGTAGCTTGAAAGTAATATTCCTCGGCCCCAGAAAGATCTCCTTTCGACTGCCACCAACGTTCATGAATGACACAAAACATAACATGATCACCAAGATTGGACTAAATCACATCACATTATGTGGAAACAAGAACAGAGAGTTTAGGGGCAAGACAACACGGAACATATTTCTTTTGGAATTGTTTCATCCTTCCAAATCACTAGTAGAGAGTTTGTAGTTGTCGAAACCATAAAGAAAATCTCCACGGTACAAAGAGAATTCACCATATTCATAAAAGGAAGAAATGGTGATCAACATCATCAATAGAGTGACTTGCAAAAGCTGACAAACATGTCTAAGACCACACAAACGTTGTGATATGTTTAAGGCCACAAGTTCACAATATCTGCCTTTTTTTCTTGAACTTCGTATCCAGTCAAATAGGTTCACGAAGATTGAAGCAGGGAGTAGCTCTCAACGAAGACGTTGCAAGATACAAAGAGAATCAGAAATGTTCCTCGAGACATACGATGATCAACATAGTCAATAGACTGACCTGCAAAAGCTGAGCATAATTCCTCAAGACCAAAGGGTTGAAAGGATATTCTTCAAGCAAACTCTTATAATGTGCTTCAACATCTCCCATTTCATCAAAATTCAACGGTACAATGTCAGCACCATGACCCGCCCTCATCAGCCCGCCCTCAGTCAGAGACTTCATGCCACTAACATCAATTCCAAATCCAGCAGCAAGGTACATTGGACAAACTGGTTCATTTTGTTCTTCAGTTTCTTTATCTTCTTTCTCGTCACAATCTTCATTATCATCGTCTTCCTTAATAAGATCCATGATGCATTTCCCAAAACTAAAATCATCACTAGCTAAATCTTCTATCTCATTTCCTATAGTAACAGCCCTCACCAATTTTCCATCATTAATCATCTCCTTAAAATCTTCATCCTTATAAACAGAAAATGATAATTCTGTTTGCAATATTTTGTTAGTTTCTTGGTTGTGACAAGATCTTGGTAGTACCTTTGATCTATAAATTTCATCAAGATCACATTTTGACACCAACCCTTTCTTATTAACATCATCAAGATCACATTTTGACACCAACCTTTCTTATAAACATCATCAAGATCACATTTTGACACCACCCCTTTTCTATAAACATCATCAAGATCACCCCTTTTCTATAAACATCATCAAGATCACATTTTGACACCACCCCTTTTCTATAAACATCATCAAGATCACATTTTGACACCAACCCTTTCCTATAAACTTCACCAAGATCATATTTTGAGACTAACCAAACTTCATCAAGATCACATTTTGAAACCATCCCTTTTCTATAAACTTTATCAAGATCAGATTCTGACACCAACCAAACCTCATCAAGATCACATTTTGACACAAACCCTTTTAAGTTCCCTTCAGATTGAACTCTCCGGGGCGTTTTTCGACCAAGATTGTTGTTGGATTTTTTGAGGCTTAGTTGATGATCAGATGAAGAGTTGCATGAGAAAGAACATTAATGGCTTGCTGAGTGAAATGAGACTTAGCCAATATTTTTGTGATCTGCAGAAGTATTATCAAAGTCACTTTTTTTACTTTCTACCAAAATGTTTTGTGAAACAGGAGTTGATGAGCTTCTCAGCAGCATATTTCTAACTTTGGCTGTTTGCTTGAGATTAATTCAGAAATCTTGACTTGCTACTTCTATGGATATCCTAAATAAAGTGTTCAAAACAAAAGATAATGAGTGTTTTTAAATGATATTTGTCAATAGACTATAGTTTATTTTCTTAAACGTCTCACTTAATTAACAATTCAAGTTCGAGCAATAAGAAGAAATTCAAAAGTAAAACACAATAAAATGCTCCGTGTTATTCTAAAACATCAATATTTTGACCTAGACTAGTAGTTACTAGAGGTCGATGGACATGTCCCAACGACCCTATTCATGCTGCCACCCCTTCGCTGAAAAATTATACGATGTGAATATATCATTTATTTCATGTAAGAAAACAAGTTCTTGAGGAATATAAGAGATCATACCTTAATTAACAACTCTATCTTCATATACTTTTTGTTGTGAAATAATTTTGTGAGTACTTTTTTTCTTGGTAAAGAATACTGTGAGTACTAACATCATATGAAAATACAAAGATGAATCAATTACTCCTATATGTTTAGAAAAAACCATGATTAAATTATGGAAACATAAATATTAAAAAAAATAGTAACCCTCTCATATATATAAAGATTTTAGAATGCAATGTTTTAAAAGAATGGAAATGCATAGATTGAGGCATACCTTCAAATTGTATTTAAACAATAAATAATAACGATTACTTAGGATCATCTTGTAAATTTATAGAATTATTTATAGTAGAATTATGTGTGTAACTGCGAAAAAATAGTGTAAGCTTTGTTAGGCTGAAATAATGTAAAAGAACAAAAACAAGTCATTTCCAAATGAAAGTCGAACGACCATTTGATGATTTGTAATTCTACATATTTTCATTGTATATTTACATATGAGAAAATCAAATTTATTTATCGCTTAATAGTTTAATAATTTTCAATTTGACAACAAACACTATTTTTTTATAAATAAAAAAAATTACAATTCTTACATCCAAACATCCACTAAATATTTTAACAAAAATTCCACGTATATATCTAAATTCTTGCCTAAATATAAGGTCCATAGTGAATGATTTTTTGACCTAACAACATTTAAACAATAATTTTTTTAAAAAAAATCCTCCATATGCGTATATACTACGATCTTAAATGTGTTTTTTTTCTAATAATTACCTCCTTCTCTAACCCCCAATTTCATTCGGGGTCTCTAGCGTATTGACCCCGAACTTTTTCATCGTCGTCCATTCTCTGAGAGAGGACGACGAGCAAAACTTCCTCATTAACATTGTGAAATAATGCCACCGATTTCCAAGAACATGGGAACGTCTTTGAAACCGTTCCAGCTCTTGGAAATAAACATCATTTCCGCGCAGGACTTGGAACCCATGTCAAAGAAATTGAAGACCTATGCGGCCGCATGGGTCCATCCTACGCGGAAACTTGCCACGGGTGTTGACGTGAACGGTGGCCATAACCCCACGTGGAATGACAAGTTTGTTTTTCGTGTGGACGAAGAATTTCTCCGTCATGAGAATTCCGCCGTCCACATCGAGATTTACTCCGTCCATTGGTTCCGTGACTCTCTCGTCGGAACGGTTCGTGTCCTTGTCGGAAACCTAATCCCTCCGATTCGCACTCACCTCCGTACTCACCATCATGGAATGCGTTTTGTCGCACTTCAGGTTTGTTTCGCTTTTTCATTAAAAAGAAAGAAATAACTTTGCATTTCAAAAATAAAAACTAAAAAGTTAGGCCGTCAATTTATTTTTGGATACATGCATGTCACATGACTCTATATATATCATCATTAATTTTACCTTTATGTTAATTGACATTATTATTTATATAAATGTTACATATGTACGTAGATTCGTCGTCCATCAGGGCGTCCTCAAGGTATATTGAATATTGGTGTATCTTTACTCGATAGCTCGATGAGGAGTATGCCATTATATAGACAAATGAGCACGTCAGCAGTTGCATATCGCGATTTGATGGAAGATCGAAACACACCCCATACACATAACAATGAGATCAAACAGAACAACGATAGTAATGTTGATGTTCCAAAACCTATATTACGTAGAATAAAGAGTGAACGTAGCGAACGTATCGCGTTGGATGATATTTCCATAGGTAATAATAGTTCAATAGTTGCAATTCCTTCAAAAACAAAAGGTGTAGATCATGAGAAAGAGAGTTCAATACTTAGTATTTCATTTGAACCTCCAATTCATATGATGAAAAAAAAGGGAAAAGCAAGTTCTGTTATAAATGGAGCTGAGCTAATAAATGAGAAATCAAAATTAGAAAATAAAAAGATTAAGACAAGTTCTGTTTTAAGTGATTCAATTGTAAGCAAAGGGTCATCAATTTATGATAAGCCCAATCCAAAGCCCAAACTCAAACTTATTGAATTGGAAATGGGGCCCAAATATGAGCCCATAAATGAAAAAGGGCCTTGTTATGACCCACCAACAACTAAAGAAATTGATGAACAGTCTATTACAAAGTCCAGTATGAAGATTTATGGAAATGAGTTTGGAGGCCCAAAAGGCCCATTAACTGAATCAGAAATTGGGCCTTCAGCATCTATAGTGGCTGCTGCTTTAGTTGAAAGAGGATATCTATTGGATGACAAGAGGAGCTCAGTGTTGGATGGTTGGAGCATCGACGAGAGCACCGAGGGGCTCAGGTCGAAGCTCGAGAGGTGGAGGAACGAGATCCCTCCGGTACAAAACCGAGGGACAGGTTCAAGTAGCTATCGTTCGACCGGACGTCACCCTAGAAGGCGTTCGAGTGGAGGGAGTAGCTTGTTTTCTTGCTTTGGTAATATTTGTGGCTATGAATGTCAATGTATGTGTGGGAAGCCCAAAAAGAAAAGTGTTAGTAACAAAAAGTATAAAAGCCCATCAACTGCTAGCAGATCATGGTTTTGAAAGCCCAAGCCCAATTAGATTAGGCCCAATTGCAAGAAGAAGAATATTGAGGAATTAGGGGGTCTTTTTGTTTAGGTCTCTCTTTTCATTATTATTTTTTATTTACAATATTGTAATTATTATTCTATCTGATTCCATTATTTTTTTTAGTTCTCAAAACTATGTACATTGTTATCAATTTGTAATTGGTAATATGTCTTCTCTTGGAAAAAGAAAAGTTCCATTTAAAGTTTGTTGTAATATTTTTATTTAGTTTGTTATGATTTTTTTATTTCCATCATTTGTGGGACCCAATCTTTTCTGATCTCTATCGAAATTCGAACCTTAATATGCAGACTCTTTTCCTCTTCACTGACCACCAAGTCACACCCTCGAGTGGCACTCATCTCCTTTTCACAAGTGGTAAAAGTGGTCAACTAGCAAAGTAGTGAAATTCACAAATAGCTACTTTTCAGCGCCTGTAATTGAAAAATAGTCTTTTTTCAAGTACGAACGGTGAAATTCTAGAATATTATCATAGAGTTTCACCCGCGGAATCTGAAACTTGTCTTGCTATTACTACTTCAAGGAAGAAAAACAAAAAAAGGAGTAATTATTTCCAGAAACAAATTCTTATTTCAATGCTTTTAACAATAAGACTCCAAGAATACAACAAAGAAGACAGAAATTAGGAATCAAGGAGTTCTCATTTTAATGCAGAAGAGCATTCATTTCTTGGGAGTAAAGAGAAAAAAGAGAAACACATCGAGCGCGACCTTTCTCAGGAATATATAAGCATCAAAAGCTCAAGATTCACTCATCTGTTAGTGTACAACATAATCCAAACTCCTAAAACGAGGTCATCGAGGAACTTCACTGCAAAAACTCTCGGGGATCAGTGACATAACCGGTCAATGCTGATGCTGCAGCTGTATACGGAGATGCAAGATAAATCTGGCCTTCCTTGTGTCCCATTCGACCAGGGAAGTTCCTATTCGTGGTTGATACACAGACCTGCAAGACAATCATTCATAGAGTTAGGTAACGACCTACATTGCCATGACAAGTTTGACTCCTTCCAACAATTTTAGGGCTGCCTGAACTCGGAAAATAGAAAGGCAGTTTATGCAAAATTCAGATAATGCTGGTATGTTTCTTGTTCTGAGACCGTCCCCTATTCCCTTTACGATTATGTTAATTTCAAGGTTGAATTCTCTCGAAAACACACCTAAACTATCACATGTTCATGAGGTTTTATACCTCAACTATCCATTGTTCCATTTACCTTCGTCTAAACTATCACTCTTTTTGAATTAAAAACACACCTCAATGCTGAGTTGGCCTACACGAGCCTGCTGTTGAGTGGGAACAATATTTGGCCAAGTCACTATTGAGGAGTGTTCTAATACAAGGGAGTGATAGTTTAGGTGGGTAAAAGAAACAACGGATAGTTGGAAAAGTAAAAATTGCAAAAAAATGATAGCTTAGGTGTGCTTTTACCATTAACTCAAAACAACAGGAGGTCATCCTGGTATTCGAATTTATAAGACCCAAACCAGAAAGGTAAAAGTGACGTGATAACATTTGCCCACTATATTTAGATTAAAGAAAACCTCCAGTGAAAAAATTGTCTTGGACAGAAAAGTTGGATTCACGTCGAGAATCTATTTTATGGCTCTCCAAAACCAGAAAAACCAAACTGAAATGATGATATCTGTTCACTATATCGGTTTTGAAAAAAGCTCTCAAGTAAAAACAAATCATCGTGGACTGAAAGGTTTTGCATCTAGAGAACCTAGGTTCTAGAGCCCGCGCCAAAGGAGAATGAAAATAGCAAGCAAATATCTATAAGAATTGTGTGGATGTTAAGGCTTAAGCATTCAGTAAGAAACCGAGAATGGAAAAGGAAACAAAAAACAAAAAGAAGAAACATGGAAAACGCTTCAAAAATTTACTAACCCGCCAACAACCTCCCAACAATGACTAAAACGCGTAAAGAATAATCAACCAACAACGCACCTAACAGATCTAAGGATCAGCATTGTACACTACCGGTTACGGATGCTAATTTAACTTAGATATGCAAGTCCTTCACTAAAACCAGGTCAATAATCTGGAAGGAGGGTAAAGCAATAAATAGTCTGAATTAATGCCATGTTAAACGATGTCACCACTATAAACTAGCAATGCTTTCCAGCTTGTGAGGTGTCCAATGTGTGGTGAACCAAATAAATATTCAACTACGTGGTATAAGATTGAACTAAGTTATTCCTGCTCAAGGAAAATTTCGCTATGAAATATCCTGTTTGTCACAAACAACCCAATGATGTATAGTCAAAGCCAAATGTCCCTAGCATATTAATGGCAACTTAACAACTCATATGAAACAACCAACAACTTGCCTGAGCTTCATTCATGCGTGCATAAGTGTCTTTAGGGCCACCCAAACAAGCACCACAACTAGGACTTGCAGGTGTATCGCAACCTGCCTCCTCAAAAATCTGGGAACATGTTTTGCCACCTGATCCTGGAACTGGGAGGCTATATACATCCATCCATACCTGAAACAGTTTCAATATTTACATCATATGGTTACTTCTGCAATGATATCGCAGCTAAGATACCAACAAAGTCCTAGGATAAAAA